TATGGACATGTTAACAAGGTGGAAAAAGAAAAAAGAAAAGAAAAAGTATTTTAACTGGAGGGGGTCTTCAATGCTCTGAATGGCTAATCAAAGCAATTAGCATATAATTCATTATGAAAATAATTGAAGCCTTTACTAAATCAAAATGACAAACAGTCTTTGCGAGGTTTTCATTCAGTTCAGCTGGATGTTGCACATCATCAGCTGTTCAAAGGCTTGTTAAAACTGTCACATCACAGTTGTGCACATTGTCTGTATTTAAATAGCAGCGTGCTGAAAATTTTGGAACATAATATGAAACTGAAGCACAGCCGAACACCGATTTCAAGTGTGCAAATGTGGCATAAAACAGACGCTTAGTTTTAATCAAACACCTCTCTCGCTGAACTTTCTGAATCATTTTCTTGAGATCTGCCGTTTCACCGTTTTTTTGCAAAAAAAAAAAGAAAAGAATCTGAAAAACACCACGTTAGCTATGAATACCAAGCTGCTCTGATAGGTCAACAAGGCAGGTCAAAGTCAGTCATGAGCCGCCTCAGCTGCTGTCAGCGCTCCGACTACTCTTCCCTGCAAAAAAGGAGTGATCACACAAAGAGAAGAAGCTTCTCAAATTGGCTGTCTAACAGTCCGTCCTCTCAGGGAAGAATACCATGCTACACAGACTGAGCAGTCGTTCTATTGATGCATGATGGTGCGCTGCAGCGCGGAGACATCTGTTTGTTGGTGGGGTAATTGTTTAGTCTCCCCATATCCGGCAGTGACCTGAATTACTCTCTAATCTCTGAGTCTGAGTTTTAAGAGCCACTTTCTTCTTCATAGGGGAAAAAAAAAAAAAAGGGGCATCATTGTCTGCCTTTGATGTGTTTCAGAAAACCTACTTGGGAACATATAAGGTGAAGGCGGATTGTTGGAGAGGAAGAAGCAAAAAAAGCTGCAAGCCTCCAGTTATAAATGTTGGTAAATCATTAATTAATAAAGAGTAGGTTACAAATATTTAATCAAGAATCATCAGTTTTGCACTCGCAGTCTTTTGCAAGTAAACATCTTAATAAATAATAACGGTTCTAATAGTAATCCATCATGTTTGCGGTTAATAAATTGCAGGACTTGATGTTAAGATGCTGCATGAACGGCAATACCCCTGATGCAAGGGAGATCTTAGCTGCAGTTCCTTGTTTCTTCCCTGTAAAAAAAAATATCCTATAATACTATATTTAATGTGTAAATAGTTATACGGTCCATTTGAGGGGCCACGCTGATCAATGACAGTGCCAGCTATAAATAAACAACCCATCAACCACAAAATTGTTTTTATTAATGACTCTCACTAATCTATAAAGCAATTTTCTTTACCACTAATAACGCCACAAATTACAATTTAAAAGCAAATTAAAATGGGGGTGCCTCATTAGAATGTAGTCATTTAGTTTTTGAGCCAATTAGGGGACACGCTGCGATCTGAGATACAAAAGATAAAGCCTGATATTTTCATATGTTGCTGTCAAGCTTGCATGCGTGACTCCACCGTGTCGACTTGAAGCTATGACAGCAGCATGTCATAATGTCACTCTTGCACATCAGGCATAAATTTAGCATTAATGACTCCGACGTGCCAACTTGGAGCGTCAGCCGGCTCCCATGCGACAGTCATGACTCACCTGTCCCGCTTTTTTTTTTTTTTTTTCCCTCTGACATTTCAAAAAACAAACACAGTGTGCTTAGTTTAATACCTCAGGTGATGACCTCGTGAAAACCTGCTTTATTGGGGGCAGGGAGATGGGTGGTTTCTCATAAAAGCCCGAAGCCGCTTTATGGACAGCATCGACACAATCCGATTTTAATGCTAGCAATAATACCGCCGGTGTGATGATAAATATCAAGATCCTGGCTCGGTAGTAATTTCTGCAAAAAAAAATAAAATAAATAAATCAAAGAAGCCCTTAACGTCTCATTTCCTCTCATTTCTTTCATGCACTGATTTTTCTGTGCTCTTTGGGGGGAAAGAACAACATTTTGGTGGTGCAACAGAGGCTTTAATAATAAAACGCAATCAAGTAGGAGCATGAGGTAATATCAAAATGGATTTCTTTTTCGCAGCATGTTGAATTAAATGAAAATCTATGGTTACAGACAGGTTACTTGGACTGATCCAAAAGCTTCTGTTTTCCTACATCGAGGGTGTTTGATCAACTCAAACCATCGCTTTCTTTCACACCGAGCGTATTCGCAACCTTTCCCTGCTCATCAGACTGTGGAAATCCATACTGTGTGCAATATTCACACACTATTTAATGACTCTAATTAGCACTCTGTTCCCACCCTGTGCCTGTCATTAGCATAACAGAAACAGTTGTACGCGTCGTGGCGAGAGATACAGGAGAATAGTTGCGAGTCTCCCCTCATAACCCCGCAAGTCAATCATGCGAGAAGACATGGCTGTCAGTTTGCTGTTGGCTCCTCGTACCAGGTGGTGCATAACATCTGCAACGTCTCGCACGGGGTTAAATAAGAACCCAAAGTAATTAGTTGCACTCGGAACATGCTACATGACAGACATCTTCTCCATTTAGGCGGAACGCACAACACTGTTTCCAACGAAAACCGCTTAAGTGTTAAAAGCTGGAGAATACAGGCTAACCTATTCTAATCCTACAGTTTTAAAGCTGAAAAGTAGTTAAAGACAAAGGGATTGATATTCTACTTTTGCCCTTGAGTGAGGGGAGGAGGGAGGGAGGGCGAGAGAGGCACGGTGAGTGTGTGTGTGAGAGAGAGAGAACGAGAGGGCTGGGGGGGGGGTGACAGAGAGATAATCTCTTTTGTATTTTTGATCCCTAAATGTGGTGGTTGTGTCCCCTTATCCCAGCTACTTAGTTTCTGCAATGCGTAAGTGATGCCATGCACTTAGGCTGTGAAAAGCAGGTCAATATGACCACTGAGAGAAAACCACATGTGCATCACATGGATAGCCTTGGGATTATTCCTCACAAAATGTCTTAATTCCTCTGTTCACTAATGATCCAGGGAAAATGCCCTCTAATCTCCATTCCATTAATTAAAAAGAGCATGAGCCCATGGAAAACCTCACCATCTGCTGCAGTTTCATTGCTGCAGACAGATTGTGTTTTCAGTTTTTAACCAGGGGAGCTGGGCTTTTTCAGAGCAAACGGGTGGAGGATGCATTGAGGTGGATGGTTAACGGATACAACTGCTCTATTTGTGGATTAACACGCTGATATATGCAGGGGAGGAACAGAAAATAAATGTTTTAAACAGAGATAATGCTTGCCAAGGTACTGTGATGATGTGCAGCTTCTTCCTGAGGACAGTTATGCAATTTCACTGTTTAGAATTAGTCTTTAGAGACTGCTCGGTTTTATAGTCGCTCATATTAAATTGACTTCTTTCTCCTGATTTGATAAGGGTTCAGATAAAACTTCTTCTTATACCGTAGCCCAAAAGAATGGATAATGATTTACTTTCATAGTTCCAGTTTGTTATGAGTTTATTCAAAAGTTTCCAATAATTAGTTTTTCCAGAGGGACACTTTCATTCATGCACTGCCCTACATTGTCATAACAGCATTTTATAGTTTTCTAAAGAATAAATTGTCTGCAAATGCAAGTTTTCACCTGTTTTTGTGTGTGGGAGTGAAAACACTGCAGCATAAGGTGTGTTTATGCTTCACTGTATCCGTTCAAAAATGATGAAACACTCTTAAATAGAAATTGAATATAGTACTTCTGACCTGCGGTCAAAGCCCAGAGTCTGTGACATGAATTTGATCGGGCTAGTAGGCAGGAAAGATTATCCGAGCAGATGTCGTTTCCTCTCTATTGGAACAGTAGGGCCAATAATAAACACAACGCACACGCAGACACACAGAGCGCACACTAATCTGAGACAGGCTAGTAGCCCCTGCACATCCCTTTCTCTCTCCTCTCTTTTCTCTCAGGCTGCCAGTCGCTGCTCCAGTCCCACCAATGTCAAGTTTTTTTTTTTCTTCCAGATTGTATTTTTTGCACATTTCTGATTTGATCATCTTTCATATGCATCCACTGGAGACACAGTCCTTGGTGTGAGTTGCGGGGGGATTTGCTTCAGCCTACAGATGGACACACAACGGGCGAAGAACAGACTGTGTGGGAAATGGCATGTAGTGTATCGTTTTGCGTTGTTCACTTGTTTCTTGGATGCAGTGTGGGGACAGATACGCTACTCCATCCCAGAGGAACTGGAGCATGGAGCTTTTGTTGGCAACATTGCAGAGGACCTTGGATTGGATTTGGACAAGCTCTCTGCGCGCAGATTCCGGATAGTCTCCGGTGCCAAGAAGCAATATGTGGAGGTAAATTTGGAGAATGGAGTTTTATTTGTCAATGAGAGAATTGATCGTGAAGAACTATGTGAGCAGAGTTTATCCTGTTCTTTTCACTTGCAAGTAGTGATAGAAAACCCTCTGGAGCTGTACAGGGTGGAGATGGAGATTCTGGACGTGAATGATAACTCTCCTAGTTTCCCGTGGAGCGAGTTTAATCTGGACATATCGGAGTCCGCTGCGCCAGGATCCCGTTTCCCACTTGAGAGCGCGCAGGACTTGGATGTGGGCTCCAACTCGCTCCGCACCTATTTGCTGAGTGTAAACGAGCATTTCTTCTTGGACATACAGACGCGCAGTGACGGCAGCAAATTTGCAGAACTCGTCCTGCAAAACCCGCTGGACAGGGAGCAGCAGAGTGCGCATCAGATGGTGCTGACGGCGGTGGATGGAGGCTCACCGGAGAGATCAGGCACTGCGCAAATTGATATCACCGTGTTGGATGCGAACGATAACGCGCCCGTGTTTGATCAGTCGTTCTACAGAGTGAGGCTGGCTGAAAACGCACCCAAAGGCACCGTGGTCATAAAACTCAACGCGTCCGACTTAGACGAGGGTCCCAATGCTGACATCACCTACTCCTTCAGCGGCCACGCTCCCATTAAAGTGCGCCAGCTCTTCAGCGTGGACTCGCACACGGGAGAAATCAAAGTCAAAGGAGTGATAGATTACGAAAAAGCCAGGATGCATGAAATTTATGTCCAGGCTAAAGATAAAGGCCCCTCTGCTGTGGCGGTGCACTGCAAAGTGTTGGTGAACGTTTTGGATAAAAATGACAACCTTCCAGAGGTGATATTGACATCGGTGTCCACTCCTGTGCAGGAGGACGCGCCCCCTGGGACGGTGATAGCAGTCATCAGCGTGATGGACAAGGACTCAGGTGAGAACGGGAACGTGGACTGTGAGATCCCACATCAGATCCCATTCCAGCTCCACTCGTCCTTTAAGAACTACTACACATTAGTAACTTGTGATTTTCTGGACAGAGAGGCAGTGGCAGAGTACAACATCACCCTGACCGCAAGAGATATGGGCTCTCCACCTTTATTCACCAGAAAAACTATCCTAGTCCAGGTGTCTGACGTGAACGATAACGCGCCTCACTTCAAACAGCCTTCATACACTGTGTATCTAACCGAGAATAACGCACCAGGAGCATCCATCTGCTCAGTGACTGCAATGGATCCAGATTCTGGCCAGAACGCGTACCTGTCCTACTCTATACTAGAAGGGAACATACAGGGAATGCCCGTGTCCACATACGTGTCCATAAACTCCGACAATGGAAACATTTACGCGCTGCGATCCTTCGACCACGAGCAACTTAAAAACTTTCAAGTCACAGTTCAAGCTCAAGACGCGGGCTTTCCGCCTCTAAACAGCAACGTGTCGGTCAATATCTTCATCCTGGACCAGAACGACAACGCACCTGTGATCGTGTCACCTGTCCCGCAAAACGGCACGACGCCCAGCGAGGCAGTGCCCAGATCAGTGGACGCCGGTTACCTCGTCACTAAAATCAGCGCGGTGGACGCGGACGCAGGTCAAAACTCGCGTCTTTTCTACCAAATGCTCCAAGCAACGGACCCGAGCTTGTTCAGCATCGCTCTGTACACGGGCGAAATCAGGACGATCCGTCAGTTAGTGGAAAAGGAGCCCACGAGGCACAGACTGGTCATTCTGGTGAAGGACAATGGTCAGCCGCCCCTCTCGGCCACAGTTTCCATCATTCTGTCAGTGGTTGACAGCCTGCCAGATTCGCAGCCCGATTTGGGTGACCTGTCACTAAGCCCACATCACAGCTCCAACTTCGCCCTGTACTTAATCGTGTCTCTGGGCGCAATCTCCTTCACATTTCTGGTGGCTATCATCGTCCTCGTTGCAGTGAGGAGACTGAAGGGCAGACCGTCCAATAAAGAGTCCAGCTTCCCCTCCATCCCCTGCTGTTGCTGCTGCTGCTCTCGCTCGGAGATGTCCACCACCACGGAGGTGTTCAAGAAGTCCAACTTAAACGTCCGCATGTCCTCCGGCGCGTCCGGCTGCGCGGAGCCAAACGGCAACGGCGCCATGCCTCAAGTCTACTGCTACAAAATGTGCCTGACGCCGGAGTCATCCAAGAGCGACTTCATGTTCCTGAAGCCGTGCAGCCCGGTTTTGTCTGTTCAACAGAATAACGCCAAGAGCACAGATTACCTGACTTCTGGCTGGAGCGCACTGGACCGTAATGAGCTGTCCAGCACCAGAGCAGCGACTCCTAACGAGGTAACACACTGACAATTTAACATAAAAATGAGGATTATTTCTCTTTTGACCCACTTTAAGAACTGCTTATGCCAACTCTATGTCTCTCACTTGTCCTGCACATCCATTGACAGAAAGGTTTCCAATGCCACCATGCCTTTTGCGCACTAGGGGACGCTGCTGCACGATCCAGCATCATTAATTAATGTCGGGAAACTGTTTTGCATGCGGAGTGTGAAATCAAAACTGTCAGATGAATATCAGATGTATGTTATTATGGGTGCACAAAAGAAAAAAATACACAGTTTTGCACTTAGTGTGTTTTATGTGGGTAATCAAATGGATAATTCAGCCTCAAACAACCCACAAGTTTCAACAACATAGCCTGCAGACTGCAAGGTGTTTTAAGGATAAAAGAGATTACTTCAAGCTATGTCTTGATATTAAGGACACAGCTGCTGCATTTTGTGCTCGAGTAGCATCAGTTTCCCATGAATATTACATTTCACTTCAGCCAGATAAACATGTTAGATATCACAAATGTGGCACATTTTAGGAGATGGTGTCTTCTCAGTTGGAATTTGTGTCTATTATCCACCAGTTTTTAAAAAATATATAAGAAAATGTTGTTTATCATCTCTAAAAAAGTACACGCCACCCTTCCTCAAGTTTCCAGCTCATTCACCAAGCTGACATTTTGTGGTTTTTTCTCCGTTGAATTCCTCCACTCGCCTAGACGTAAACGCAGGGCAATTGTTCTGCATGAGATGGTCACCGATTTACAAAAGTTTTCTTTATGTTTCGACTGTGCAGCTCAAGTATTCCAACAAGGACTGGACGTGGACCAAAAACCAGCGCAACTCGGCGTACAAGAGGTGAAAACACAGTCGGAATCAATTTTCCACATGCTGACACCAAGTGCACAAACACGTAAATTCATACCTCTGTTCCCTTTTTTTTTTTTATCTTTACAGGTATAGTTCAGCAAATATGGAGGGCACGCTTCCCCGGCAACAGAAATATGATACTGATGGGTTTTCCTGCTCCGTGGCACCGCAATACTGGACCTGGGGGAACCATATGAATGGTGGGTGGCAGCCGTCCAATTTTGGCACATTATTGTTCACATAAAAGAGGGTGGTGAGGAGGGGAGGGGGGGTTCTCTCTGTGCCTGAGGATTTAGTGTGACATATAAAATGGCAAACCAAAAAGCAGATAATACCAGACCCCTAAAAACTGTGGCGGCGGTGGGGGTGGATTTTAATACATGAGGATTATTTAAGTCCCTGCAAGAAGTGCTATTTTTTTTTTGCAAAAGAGCTGCAAATAAGAGGATGCCTTTAAAACCACCTTATTCAGATCAAGTGCGCTGTATTTAAATACAGGGATAATCTCCAGATACAATTTATGCGCATTTTTTTTACAGACTGCAAGATGTCTCTTCAAGAGGGGGCTGCTCCAAACTACTCATGGACTCCGAAGTACACCCAGCCGCAATCCGAACCGCCAGACTACCAGCACAACGTGTACATTCCCGGCACCACGTCCGGCTACAGCACCCTGAAGCTGGCGCCGAACCGAGGAGAGCTGGACGTGTACAACACCTTCTCCACCTTTGGCAAGAAGAAGAGGTTCATCTCCAACTACGAACAATCTTTTGATAAAGATGACGGTATCATAAGCAATTCTATCTTTAAATAACGCCAGCTACGCTTTAAAGATTTCTGCTGCTCCGTAGGGATATGACAAATGTTTAAAGGTTGTGTATGTTCTGGTACGTTTTCCGTAGCTCCACCTTTTCCATCTTTTTTTGGCACAGCTGAGAGCACTGCTGTGAGTCCAAGCTGTGAATCAACATACTCTGCTAGCAATAAAGTTTACACTTTATAACCTTCAGACTAGAGGTTTCTATCGATAGCTGACACGTCTGAGATGTTTTTATAAAAAAAACTGTTAGTGTTAAACTCAGTATCCAATAGTGGTTTCACATGTACATATTGCCTGGATAATTAAGCTGTGTACAGTTTGACTCCAATCATACTGGAGTGTATTTGTTGGTCTGCAATCAGGCATAATGCACAAGCAATGCAACAAAAAAGGTATAGAAATGTACAGAAAAGTAGTGCAGATTCATTTAAAACAAAGGAAATGCGCCTGACTTTAAAAAAAAAACCAACATGACGAGTGTAATCATGCCAGCTCTACATCTTGCTTCACTGAGAGATTGTGTTAAATGGAACAGCATCGCAGCGACGGCGCGACCTCTTGCGCAGCAGACCGTCTCGCTGACACATCACGATGAAATGTTGATGACATTTTCAAGGGCAGCGACACAGGTGAAGTGATGTAGGTCCTGTAAAGTCACTGCAAATGTCATGCACCAGAATAAAAGTGGACAGAATAAAGAGACATATTTTAGTCACCGGTTACATGTGTTTCAGATTTGTATTCATTAGGTGGGATTTGTATATTGACAGATGATCACATAGTTATGCTTAGTAGAATTGATCTCTCTGTAAATGGTCTATGTAAAGTATATATTAATAACAATAAATCTGCCCTCAAACGGTTGTTTTTGTAGTTTATTTGGGGTTTTTTTTGGACAGAATGGCTATGCTTTTATTTTGTGAACCAAAATCCAAGATGAAAATACAGATTTAATTATTGATTTACCCTGTATTTTAAAGAGGGTTGGCTAAAAAACAAAAAAAAAGCACACCATTATAGAGTCTCTAAAACTGAGCATGATGCCAGTGGACATAGGACACAAGTAAAGCACATTAAAAAAAATCCTGAGGATGAGATACACAAAACAAACTCTAGCTCAGGGAAAGCAATTGCACTCTCCGGCTTTAACTAAATACATCAACATACTGGAAGAGGAAAGCAGAAAAAGGTAACTGACTTAAGTCTCTTTTAAAAATGGATTTTGCCACCATCAAAAGCTGACAGCAGTGGCAGAGCCAGACGATCTTTATAGAGGTGGCCAAGCTGAGCGCTCACTGGGGTGGCTCCATGTCGAGTTCTTTCTCTTTCACTGCAGGCCAAATAGTCTGTTTTTTATTATTATAATTTGCTTATGCAGGTAAGACTGCTATGTAGAAGCACATAAAAGCTCATTGTATAATAAGGGTTTTTTTTAATGTAACAATCAGTTGAGTAAATATCTGGAATGTTTGCTTAAGTTATGCGTTTTTTTATTTCTGACAAACCTCATAAGATATTTTCTATTTAAATTACATAAGATATGAAAGACAATTTAGTTCAGAAGCATCCATGTTGTGCTCAGGACGCCCACACGGTTGAGACATCCCAATGTATCCTTTAGTTTTGCTTCTTTTATTTCTTTTGGCTGCAGGTTCTGGGTCAATACTACACTGTTCAGCAGTTTATATGACTTGTAACCACAGCTCTTTTAAAATAGGTTTCATCACTACAGTCCTTAAGAGTGTCAGATAAATCCATCACTTAACCATCACCAACAATGCAGCTTCATAGGAACAACAACAACAAAAATAAAACATGTACGCAGAAAATACTCGGCCAGAAAAACACTAGTTACTGGATGTCACTCCAGTTCTTTGAGTATATGCAGAGACCTTGTAATGGGCTTCACTGCTGGTTGTGTAGGGTAGCCAGGAGGGTGGCCAGACTCCAGTCTGTGGCGGCCGTGACCACCTCGGGCCAACCCTCGGCTCTGCCCCTGGCCGACAGTGAGGGTTGTCATTACTAATAATTAATGTCATCTGACACACAGCTACAAGTGAGCTGTGCACAGATTTATCCGAGCTGATGTCAGGAGCCCAGTTTCCCTAACTGGCTTTTACGACAACAAGAAATAAAAATGAAAGATCTCCTCACAGATTCCTGCACACATTCTGACAAACCGGCCTCAGACGTAAGGCGAGAGTGCAGTCATGGGCACGTGTGCATATGAGGGTGGTGGGGGAAGAAAAGGCTGTTGTGAATGGTTCTTAACCTTTCTCTTGACATTCTGGTCAGTAACCCCAAGGTTTTAAGTTACTGCTGCGGAGATTATCCTCAAGATCCATCGCCTCTAACGGAGCTTTTGCAGACCAGTGGGTTAATCTTGGGCTTGGACCCGACTGCCTCAGTGAACTGCCTCGCTGTGTGTGAAGGGCCACTTTCAGATGTATTTTGAAAGGTCCCATATGGTGAAAATTCATTTTTTTGATGTGTTTTGTGGTTGTTATAAACTTAGAGGTATAGAACTGAAGCTGCTATGATGTTTACATCTGCCATTCTTCAAGCACCTCCACACTAGATAAGTTTGAAAATCAGAGTTCAACCCAGGCGCTACCCTCACACCTAACCAAGCTGTCAACCAGCTCAAAAAGACACCATCTTCCTCATGAAGGTGGCTGGAACAGCAGCAACTCATTGTTCTCTACAGCAAAAAAGCCAGCATAGAGCAGCCTTAAGCCAGTGGTTGTACAGTTATCATAAAAGTTAACCATCCTTGCAGTATTTTGAACTGGAAAACTGAAAGACACACTCTGGGGACACGTGAGACTTTGATTAATTTGCCAAAAGTGGGCACATTATGGGACCTTTAAACTCACTGAAAATCAAGTCAGATGGATAAAAACAACTAAAAAACGTTTTTTCCCTTCTAATTTGGAGACAGCTAGGAAATTAAAACATGAACTGACAATTACACCATGCCAGCAATTACAGATCATCAAGCCAAGATTTATCTTTGACTGTATCACCAGTGGCGTAAACAGCCGGGCGTAGCAGTCAGAGGTCCTGTGTGGTAGCATATGTGCAGCTTCTGCGCCATATAAAGTCAAGTCAGAAAGTCAGAGCCCAATCTGTGTTTCTTTGTTTCCCTTTGTCTCCCTTGACTTATACATAGCTTCCCCAACTTTGGGTGGGTGCATTAGTTTCCCTTTATTCCCCACTAGAGGGCGCCTGATGACTGGAAACCATCCTTGTGCATGATGGGCATCAATATTTTCCTCTCTCTTTACTTAGCATGCATGTATATATTTCAAAATTAAATATATTTTATGTTGAAGGATTTGATTGGAATTAGTTTAAATACAAGTTTGTTAAAAAGGTTCAGAATGTTCTAGATACACAGTAGTTAAGCCACATGTTATTTATACCTGAGCCAAATTTGGATTTATAGTGAGTTTTTATTTGACCAATAGTTTTATTCTGGCTGGAAATGACAGACAATTAGGCATCATGTTAGAGATGTCAGTGAATTCTAGCTATTTCTTTGTTGTTTTTACTATTTTAAGGTAAACATAATGCCAGAAATGAGCCCTTGAATTGCTATTTTTTAGAAAAAGCAGCTGCATCCTGGTGCTTTCCACCATGTTCTAGAGCATATTAGTACACTGTAGACTGAGAAAAGCTGATGCAGGAGTTCTGTAGTCAGTTTCTAGTCAATTATAAGTCATGGCTAAAACCAAAGAGCTCAGAGAGCTTGCTATTAGGGTCCATCACTGAGAGAGAGTTCTGTATTGTGGTTGCTCCTGGGCTGAAGTAAGGCGATAAAAGCCATATTCATGAGTTTTTTAAGTGCCTGCGGTCACAAATCATCAAAAAGAAAATGAGTTCCACACTGAAGAATCATAAAGGGCAGTACAAAACAAAAAGCACTGGAAAGCATGGTAGTATGAGAGGCCAAGAAAACCTAAGGATCACTTTAAGAACATCCTGATGAGTCAATGCTGGTACCAACATCTTAAAGCAGACACCTAAACTGAACAAGGCTGGTCTTTGGACACCGACCAGGGAGGACTCCACAAAAGCTCACTTAGCCTTGGCAAAAGTTCACTTGGACAAAAAGTAAAGTCTTTCATTATCAGCTCTGTTTGGTGAAAGACAAGAAAAGCATTCAACTCCAAGACCATCCCCACATTCAGCTCATGGTGGTGGGAATGGAATGCTGCGGGCCTGTTTTTCAGCCAGGCAACCTTGTCAAAGTAAATGACATCATGAGAAAACATGACATTAAGATTCTAAAGGAAAACATCAATCTGCAGAAACGCTGGCAGCATCCAGTGAGACAATGATGTGAAACATGCAGCAGAGGAGGTCAGCAAAGGGTTAACAGGAGCAATATAAAAATGGAGTCGCCCAGCCAAACCTGAA